AATGCATCTTTAGAAAATTACATATAGTAATTTTTTTGAATGTGGTAAGTGTTTTAGTTGTTTTTTTTTTGTAGAAAGAAACCTTTCTGCAGGTAATTTTGTCGACCTAAGGTCTTCTTTACACAAGATTTAAGCTTTGAAGAAAAGAACTTTATGCTTCTTCAAATTTATTAGGATGAAGTACATGACGAGATTGAAGAGATTGCATTATTATTATCATGCAAAAGCTGATATTAACCTTTTTAAAAACTTTCATATTTGCCTAAAGATGATTTGCTCTTAACAAAACAGTAGTGCCGCCAAGCAATACTCTATTAAAGTTGTCAACGAATAGACGAATCGAATGGCATTCAGAGCTTTTGGGTTGATCGAAAACTATAAAACTTCTCATTCTAGTTTGGGTGTTTAGGCTTCTTAATTACAGTTTCATTTGAAAATTCGAAATTTAGCTCGAATGAACGTATATCCAATATCTGTGATATATTCGAACATGAATACTCGAGGTGCTGTTCAAAACATATTCAAGTTTGAATATTCGAATAGTAAGGTTCTTAACTATCTAATCATCGAATAATTGGGCATGACCAAATATCCGATCACTCGAATGTCAATTAGTGCGTTTTTGAATGTGGAAGTAATCAAATATTCGAATATTTCATTGCTTGATCTCAATAATATTCGCGCAGATATTTGAAAACAAATATTTGATGGTATTGGAGACGAATATCATTTGGATCTCAGTCTCAAAACTATTTAATTATTATTGAGTAATTGGGATTTTCTGAGTATTTGAGTACCGAAAATTTGAATTATTCAAAATGTTGAAATGTTCGAATATTTTATTTGATTACAACTATTCCTCTCAACTAACAAAACCTACGAAGCTGCAAAACTTGTAGGTCTATCCAAACGTCCGCACCTTAAATGAAGAATTTGAGGAAGCAGCGATTCAACTTTCTAATTCTACAACCTTCCATAACCTTTCTATAACCTGAACAATTTTTAAAGCCACCCTTCAAATTCTTACGGCTCTACAAAAATCGCGACAATAATAAAGCACTTGCGCTTGCCTTCTGGAAAAGCTCCTTTCTGTTAGTTTTTTTCCTCCAAGTTTCAATAGTATCACATAAATTTCATTCCAAGTCTTGAGAGCATTATCTGAATCTGTTTAACCTAACTTTTTCCCGTCAACTGTCGAAAAAAAAGGAATTTATATGAGAACGTGTGAGAAA